CAGCATGGAAAGCCTCCAGCTGATCAGAAGCCCTTTTCTCCAATACCTTTGGCCTACTGATAGGTCACTGGGACCCTAAACCAAACACCCTGTCTGCGCTCTGCCTGCTACCTAAACCCCCCTCTCCACCTCCAGGGGCACCCCAGACCCTTCCTAAGTTCCAGATGAAGACGTACAGAGCGGGTGGGGCCAACGGAGCAGGAAACCGCCTGCCACTTCCAGCCCAGGGGGATCTGCCACCTCCTGTCACCTGCTGCTCGTCTCCCACATTTCTCCAGAAATCTGACATTTGGGGTTTGTGGCGGGGGGGAGGAGGACAAAAAGGCAAAAGGCAAACCTCTGACTGACAGCTGATGGCTCATTCCTCCGGTTATAGCTTCATTTGGTTATGGAAGGGGTGATAACACGTGAAAACAAGTCACCTGTGATCAAGAGCCTTCCCTCCAGTGGCGATAAAATGGGGATTCTAAGGAGGAATCACCAGCAATGGCTGAGAGAGATATCCGAGGCAAGTTTTCAAGATTCTGACGGAGAAGCCAACACCTCGAGCAGCCAAGTGGGGTCCACACTCTCTTAAGAGCTTTTCAGGAAGCTTCCGCTTCTCAGTCATCCAGCTACAGCCAGAGCCTGGGCTAAGTGGGCACTCTCTGGGTCTCACCCCTGTTCGTTCTCAGCACGGGACTGACAAGCAGGGACAGACAAGGAAACTGAGGGCCAGAAAAGTGAAGCGGCTGGCCCGGGCAGGCACTAGAATCACACCCCTCCCCACTGACACCCGAGTCCGTGCTCCTTTGATCCCCCCGGCTCCTCCCCAGAGGGACCCACCATCAGAGAGGCCACCACAGAACAGTAACAACGTGACCAAAGATGGCAGGGGGAGGGGAGCACACAACAGCTGTTCAGACGTCGTGTCTGATGGTGGAGTTCTCCGAAGCCAATGGAAGTTTCTGCCCCAGTTCCCAGAAGCCCTCCATGAGCTATGCTGCCCCCAGGAAATGGAGCTGGGGAACCAGCACCAGTAGGGGGGGAAGGTGCCCGTCTTGGCAGCGGGCATCCTGTGCGCCAGGCAGGTACGCGTCATTTCAGCACCGCAGTTACTGTTAGGAGCACTCTGTCAGGACACGGCAGCTCAGGAGGTCAGGTAACATGGCCCAAGGCCAGCAGGCGACAGAGTGGGGCTCAGACATGCACTGGGTCCGTTCCCACGTGGGAGCATGCAGCCTCCCTCGCACGGGCCACGAACCCCAAACACCCCAGGCCCCTTCTCCCCACCCCTCCTCAAGACACCCATCCCACAAAATGGCTCAGAGACTCCCGCTGTTTGCAAACCCTGGAAGCCATCTCACCTGCCCCCTCACGCCCACACCAGGATCAGCTACTCCCATGTCCCCGAGCTCTGCCGGAAGTGGGAGAATGCAGTGGGAAGGGGGCTCAGGAAAGGTAAAGAACTCCTTTATAGGCAAACCTGAGTCAGGTCTCCAGGCCAGAGCCCCCCACCTCGGCTGCATAGCCCTGCACACGACCAGGCTGCATAGCCCTGCACACGACCAAGGTGCAGGGCCCCGGGGCCACAACTGCACACATCAAGGGCAGAGCTGCTACCGCTTTCCCTTGGGCCATGTCCCCCAAGGGCGACAGAGCAGCAGCCCAGATGGCCGTCCTCCCACCATGCTCCCCCCGCCCAGGGTGGGGGTTCTGTCACCTCACGGCCGGGGGGGATGCTCAGGGCAGAGGAGGAACAGTAGGTGCTTGTTTGCTAAATGAGCAAACGAATGAATGGGTGAATATACCTTCCGAGTCACAAAGCCCCAGAAAGTTCCTCCTTCTACTGTCCTACTTCCCTATCATTAAAATAAATAAGGATACAAAGGAAAGAAAAACATGATTAACTACTCCTTTTATGCCCATCTCTGGACTCCAGTGTCCCAAAGGAAAGGGCCAATCCAGGATCCAGCCCTGGTCCAGTGACTGAGAGAGTTCCAACTCCGGTGTCGCGCTGGGAGGCACCCTTAAAGGCGGAAGGGATCCCACCTATGCCACAGGCCAGCCCTGCTCATCCATCTCTGCAGCCGCGCCTCTAGAAGCACCTGGCAGCAAGGAGGGCTAGGACCCATCTGGACAACACTCAGATTGTTGGTTCCCCGAAAGGCATGACCCTCACGGTCATGGCGGGCACCTCCCCTGGGACAGCCGAGCCAGAGGCCAAGTCCCAAGTGTTAACAGCCACCCGCTCCCCAGCAACCGGCCCTGGGGACCACGGCAGGGCTCGGACAGGCCGGAGCATCCGTCCCCACCATGGCCGGGAAGCAGGAACAGGAGAGGCCTGGGAGAAGCCAGCGGTATCAGGGGCCTGGGCGGCAGCTGTGCGGATTTCCGGAAGCCCGGGCGGAGAAGCGCCTGTGATTCCTAGTCCCCCTCTTAAAATATAAAGACTCAATTATCTTTGAGCAGCTTGCTTTACACATGAATTGACACATTTATTTTACAATAAATAACTGAAAGTTATCTGTGTTTCCTTTACTGTTAATCTACACAGAGAAATAATAAACAGGGCTTGTCTACAAAAATGCAAGTAGTGCCGTCCTCAGAATTCAATTAAGCTAAAATAATTAATGCTCCCACCATATTAAATTACTTTATACATTTGAGCCACTGAAGTTTTATTCTTTAATCTTTCCTTTTTGCTCAATAAAAAAGAAAGAAAGAAAAGTTGGTGCCAAGGCAGGGAGGGAAGAAGGGGAAGGAGGGCCAGCGAGAAGGCGAGACGTGCCACCAAAATGGGACGGTCGTCTCCAGCTGACACAGCACGGAGACTGTTTTGTGCCTTTGATTAAAATAACATTTTAAAGGCTTTGAACAAACATATCTCTTTAGACTTCTAAGGGATTATTTTACATATTTCTTCAAGAATGAAGAAATCCATTCGTCCTGTTGCTGAACAGAAAAGGCCAAGAATATCTTCCGTCACACACAGAATAAAAATACCATGGGCTGCTGCTGTACTACGACCCGAGAAAAGGGGCGCAGGGGGCTGGCTAGGGGGTGAGGACAAAGCCGCCTTGCAGATTAACTTTGCCTTTTATGAAATCACATCTAGTGGCTTTCTTAAACAAACCTACCCACAATGATCGGCAGCCTCTCACTGGGAAGTGCCTTCATCGTGAAGTGAGAATTCGGATGGGTTTTGGTGAAAGCAGAATGCCTTTCCATGGAAATAGAAGTAGGGACCAGAGTCTCATGGGCAAGGCCTGTGGTCACTGACGCCGGGTTTTTATTCCACTGCAGAAAGACTGTTCCTCTGGTGTCAAAGAAAAGAAACGCACGGGGACCCCAACAACACCAACAAAAGGGACCCGGCACCTTTCTGGATGGGAGGTTCCAGCTCTAACGAAGGCAGCATCATTCATCTCTGCAGGGCACTCTGAGAAGCCAAGGTTTACATGACTGTGGCCCCAAACATGCTGGTCATTTTTCTCAAAGCCCTTGGCAACTTGAGAGCATGAGAGACGTCCCTAGAGCTCACCAGCCAGAAGGGAAGGTCCACAGGCCAGTAAGATTTGGTGGGGTCTCCCCTGAACCTAGCATGTGCCAGCAGGAGTCTGCATCCCACCACAGCCTCTCACTAATCCCTAAGAGAGATCTCACTAATCCCATTTGAAAAGATGGGCAAATTGAGGCCAGAGGTCTCAGACTTGCCACGTGGCTTGCCGCGTTACCCTGCCTGCCCTCTGGGGGACGCGGCCCTCAGCTCCATCCTGCCAGGGGCAGCGGGTGTCTTGGGCTACAGCAGGCTCACCCTCCAAGGAGGAGGCCCCAGAGCCTCAGTCCCTCCAGCACCTCCGCTAGCTTCCATGCCCAAAACACAGCCGGCCCCTACTTACACACCGCAGCCCCAGAGGGGACCCCTGAGAGGAAATTTCCCCTGGCACAGAGCCTCTGCTCATTCAATGCTCACACCAGGCCTGCCAGTATTCTCACTCCCTGTTGACAGATAGGAAACTGAGGCCTGGACCCAGGAAGCGGCTTGTCCAGAGTCCACCAGTGGGGTGTGACCTCTCATGTACACGCTCGCTGGTGCCATCTTGCTGCGGGACCGGCTGCCGCTTACTACAGGAACACCAGCCACCATGGGCCTCTATCTTTGCCGGGCCTCCCAGGCTCAGAAGTCGGACCTACGGCAATACTGGGGTTTACACAGAACACGGGCTCCCTGGAGGAGGCTCTGTCATGCCATGGCCACTGCCCGGCAGGATACAGTGTCAACTCCCTATGGCCAGAGGACACAACCAAAACACCCATTCTTCAGGTGGGAAAAGTCAGCTGTCCAGGTGGTCAGCTGAAAGGGGCGCAGCGCTCCAACAAGTTCCCACAAGCCCTTCCCTAGACCTGCCAGAAAGATCAGGCAACATGAGAAGGAGCCTCTGGGAGCAGGGCACCTCTTTTTACGGATGGGAAACAGAGGCCAGAGAGAGGAAGAGGAGGAAGTGAGTTCTCCCATTCTTAAGTGCCTACCAGGCCCTGCGCACAGGCCACGTCTCATTAGACCTCACCACAAGCCTATGGAGATCAGTCTCATTAGCTCCATTTCACAGATAGAAAAACTGACTTGTCCACGTTGGGAAGAACAGATTCCAACCGAAGACCGTCTGGCGGCACAGTCAGAGACTAAGCCAAGAACACCAGCAAACTGAGGGTCACCTCGCCTTCCAAACTTCCATTCTGTACTCCCGGCCACCTACGGATTAGGCCCCGCAGCAGAGTGTCATTGCAAAAAGCAAAGCGACCAACTGCCAGCTGTGCTGCTCAGAGCCCCAAGCCCGTCTTGTCCTGAGGGGCACCCAGATAGCAGCCCCCCGGAACGGGCAAGCCCTGGCTGGTGGTCCTATCCCGGTAACCCCCGACCCCTCCCAGGCCTGACACCCGGAACGACGAGGGGGCAGGCGGGCGTGGGACCTGGGAGGTGGCTTCCGCGGCGGCCTGGCCAGGGCAATGTTCCATACCTGCAATGTTCTCCTGCTTGGGGCAGATGCCTTTCGTGGGTGAGAGCAGGTGGTCATCTTCGTCGGGGGTGACCTGGATCCCGATCTCCACCGGCTCGGACACTTTCCTGAGCTCGGAGCGTGAGGAGGGCGGCGGGCTGCCTTTGTCCAGGCCTTTGTCATAGCAAGCACCCAGGCCACCGCACTGCTTCTTCTTGTGCTCTATAAAAACCAGGATGTCCCCCAGGGGGAAGTTCATCTGACACTGTCCACAGGTGAGCAGGTCAGGGTCGGGGCCACCCACCATCAGCCCCAGGCTGCTGGGCTCCTCTATCTCCAGACCCTCGTCTTCTTCGAGGATGGCGGCCTCCACATGGTCAGCCTCTGCTGGAGAGAGAGAGGAGAAAGGGGCAGAGAAGACAGAGATGGGCTTAGGCAATCACGGGCACCCATCAACCATTCCAACCCTTCCCCACCGAGAGGAGGCCCCTCCGCTGCAGGGTCCCAGAGGTCACCGAGTCCCCACATGACTCCTGGAGGCCACAGATGGGCAAACTGAGGCTCTGAGAGTAACATCACCGCCTGTGGAAGTGGTTGCTTAACTGGTGCTAAACTTTCTGCTTTGTCATTTATCTACTGTTAATTCCCAACCCCCCCACCCCCACATACCAGGTAAACACATCTACGTGCACATACCCCCCATCCCACTTTCACAAGAGGCTCAGGGTCCTGGGCCCCGTACTTCAAGCTGGAGACGTGTCTCTCCCACTTTACATCATCTGAGAATCACCTGGGGAGCCCTGAACCCCGTGCCCAGGCGGCACCCCAGACCAATTACAGCAAGATCCAAACCTCAGATTGTCTTTTTGTTTTTAAGACTCCCCAGGTGATTCCAGTGGGCCGCCAAGGCTGAGAACCGTGCGCCAGAGCCGGTTCACCCTGCCTGGGCTCGATCCGCCGCCCCCTCCCTTCCACGGTTCATTCATGTCCTCCCCATTCATGGGAGCCCTGCTTGCATTCCTCTACCTCAGACCTGGCTGCACACCAGACAAGAAAACAGAGCCCCAGACGGGAGTCAGGCAGCCAGTCCTTAGGAGAGAAAGAAGCCCACATGCTCAGAAAGCAACAAGTGAGCGCTGGTTCGAAAAGAAACATGGAAGGAAAAAAAATAATAAAAAATAAAAAACAATGCAGGGGAAGGGACTCTGCAAATCTGCTCTCTGAAAGAGGGAGCCGGCTCTGCTCTTGGTCAGACTGCTATCACTTTGTAGATTTCCAGCACTCATCAGCTCCCACTGTCCTTTTTGTTTGTTGGTTTTATTTTCACTCCCAGAAAAAGAAAAGGAAAAAAAAAAAAAAAAACCCTCTTCAGACTCCAAAAGCATTTCTTAGCAGACGACAAACCACACTTTCAATGGGCTGTACATTTTCATATTTCTTTACCAGCCGATATACTTCCCTTCTTTCTTTATTTTGGAGGGACCATGGGACCCAAATATTTTGAAGCCAGTAAATGCCTCAAAATAGGAGCAACCCCCAGAGGGAGAACAGGAGGACTCAGCAGCCAAAAGTGTCATAAATAAGGGCACTGGACGATGAGGTTGCACATCCCCTTGGGCTCTGAGCAAACGTGGGTTGGTATTTTTCAAGAGCAAACAACTTGGTCGTGGAGACGGCACAAGTGTCAGGGTGCTGGGAAAAGCCAAGGGGCAGCCAGAGGTATGACACCCGAGGAGGCAGGTAAATTTTAAGTTGTATGGTATTTAGTGAGATACAGTGAAAACCACAGAGGAACGGAGGGAAGGGATGGAAGGGAGGGAAAACACATTCCGGGGCAGTGAAGTTACTGGCGGGCCAGAGCCAAAGAACAGATAATTTAAGGAAAAAATTCTGTGGCATCTTCCATCCTACATATGAATCCCTGTTCTGTATTCTCTGAACTCAGCTTCTTCAGGGCCTGTGAGAGTCCATGTGTGATGTTGAATCGAGGATGGACGGTGTAGGACAGGTGACACGTCTGAGACACATGTGAACAGGTTGAGGCACAGGTGTTGCTGGGAAGGAAAGTTAACATTGGAGAACCTGCCTGTGTTTAGAGACGAGCAGAGAGTGCTCCATGAATTACCCTTGGACACGCAGGAGATGCAAGTCAATGCAAAAAAATACCCCAAAGATGAGGAAATCTTAAATCTGTTATCTCCATACCTCTAAAACACACACACACATATACACACACACTAACCTATAAGGTAAGATAAACCGTTTTCACCAAGCCAGCCCCGGGAATCATTAATTACACTTTAAAAAAAGAAATCGGGAGTTTACTTAAAACAGAGTTGGAAGACAATGCTACATAATTAATTTACCAATTTATTTTATGAAAAGATGCTTTGGTATGGCTGAAATGTAATCACAGCCCTCACGCCGAATGGTGGTTGTAGGGGGGTACCAGATTCCTGTGAACGGTTTGTCAGAATGGAAAAGGTAATTATTCGGTGCTTCTTTTCCCTTTAATGATCTAACATTGAGCAATACTGTTTATATTGAAAAGCTTGCACCTTTAATTACCAATTACATATACATAATTTCAGAGCCAAAGGAGAGGGCTGTGAAAACAGTTCTTTAGAAATATAAGGATGTATTGTGTGCCATTTCTAGAGCGGGAACTCTAATAGATGGGAGGAGGATGTCAAAATATTGTTTTGTTAAAAAAAAAAAAAAGGAGAGAGGCACAAAGGAAATGAACTGAAAAGCAAAAAAGGACAAAATGAAACAGACTTCAGAAGGAGCAGGGACAAGCTCTGCGGTGGGAAGGGTGAAGGTACCCGGTCCCAAATGCCACTTGCCCACAGGCCTGGAGCTCCACTGCGTCCCCGAGGCTACCACACTTCCAGTGTGACCATCCTTGCTGGGGACGGGGAGGTGCTTCCTGCCGCTTAATAATTTAATCTTTCTCATCCTTGTTTTGTTTTGCTTTTCATTAACTTTTTCAGCCCTGCCTGTCGTCTCCCCTGGGAGGAGTTCTAGGAAGCCGGGAGGACCTCCTCGCTGCTAGGAGGCTTTAAGCTACATAATTTCAATTCGATCTTCTCATTCAAAAGAAACGCGGACTACTTTAAAAATTAGCAAAAGTCATATAAGCCTGTTCGCAGGCATTCCTGCCTCTCTGCCTTCTACCTTTTGCTGAGGACTTGGTACCAGCACTTTTTTTTTTCTTTTTTTTTTTTTTTTTTAACATCTGGTATTCTTTCCTTTATTTGGCTCTCTCTGCCTTTTCACTTTCCTCCTGCAGCAGTCACTGTGTCTGAAAGTATCCATTCGCTGTGCTACAGCTGTGAGTCCTGCCTGGCCCCCTGGCAGCCAAACCCCCCTGAGCAGCCAGGCCCTGCCCCAGTCCCACAGACAGCCCTGAACCTGACCTCCTGGACCCAGGACCCCGGACCCAGCTCGAGGCCTTGAAGGGAATCCAGAGGCAAAAGAAACAAACAAACAAATCTTCCCTCCCACTGTCAGTGTTGAAAGTAAAACTCAAGATGACAGCAGGAGGGGTGTTCACCCTACTCCAAGAACGGGGTTTCCTCTCTCCCCTCCTGGGGGGGTAAGGGGGGCTCTGGGCTTCATCTGCCAAGTGAGATACTTCCCAGGAAGGTGGCAACAATGTTACCCCCAAAGTTCAGGCAGCAGAGGCAGCATGAGAACCCCTCCACTGTCAAGTTGTGGGTCACACACAGAGTGTAGACCAGGACAGCTGAGCCTGAAGGCTCGTGCTCATGGCCTTCGGAGACACCCCCAAAGACGGGCTGTGGTTTCATTTCCGCTGGCGGGCGGATACTGAGCTGGGTGTGTGGGGTGCGTGTGTGTGCGCGTGTGCACGGCCCTTCTTAGAACCATATCGATAATGGAAGAAATAAAAGGAGAAAGAGCCCCCTGGGCCAGCTCAGAGAAGAGCAAAGCAGGCTGTGTCTGGCCCTCCCAGCACCCTCCTTTCCCCGTCCTATGGGCATCCGGAGCCTCACGGCCCCACACAGCTCGGAGAACCAGGCCTCTGCTGGGAAAGCCAGAGCGGCCCAAACCGCCACCCAGAACTAAGAAAGCACCAGGAAAGAGAAAAGACACATAACAAAAACAGTTTTTTGAATTCCCAGACCCAACAAACCAGCCCCTCAGGCTGTCCTGTCCGGCAAACTCAGACCTTAAATAAAGAAGGCAAAGACGAGGTCTTTCCTCCGAGATGATTTCTGCTTTTGTGAACAAGTCCCCAGGTGTCAGGCAGCTCTGGAAAATATTGCTGCTCTCGCTATTATGAGCCGAATAAAGTAAGGGATTGCTAAAACGTTTGACTCATTAAGAGGAAAAATGAATGGAAGCAGCAGGCACCTTGCTCAAATGTACGCTATCACGTCGGGGTGGGCTCTGAAATGTGAAATCCTAAAGCTCATGGACAAATGCATATTCTCTCTCTCACACACACAAACACACACAGAGTTAATTTTCTTTTACAACACATTTTATTTACGAGGCTACACCTCCTCCCAGCTGATACACGCATTTATAAGAAATGAAATCAGGGTTCACAAATAATAATGGATATTTGTTGTTAAGTAGATGGGGAAGCACTTGATCCGAAGTCAAACTCCCCCATGCCTGAGCTCCGCTGGGAAGGAATTTGGGGCAGAAGACAGAAATGGAAAGACATCATTAACACGGACCCAGCCAAGCAGCCAACAGGCCCCCAGCAGCTGCAAGGGCTTAGCATGGCCTTACCTGGCCAGAGATTTCCCCCACACGCAGGGCTCCAAGGGCCCCCCCTGCCCTGGTCCATCTGCAACAACTGCCCCTGCACCTGCCTTTTGGGGAATTCCAGCCGAGGGGCCAACCGCCTGCTACGCCCCAAGCACAGTGCGTGTACACTGCTGCACCCAGAGGACACAGGCCCATGGCCCCCTTACCCTGCACTGATTCAGATCCAAATTTCTAATGGCTAGGCTACAGTCCAGAAGAAACATAGGAAGAATTATTGTTTCAGTGATGGGGGGCATGGGTAGGAGAAGGGTGTGGGGGGAGGGGTGCCAGGCTCTTAAAATCGTGTGCCACCAACGTCATAGCCGCCATCCTGATGTGTACGCATGTTTACAAGAAATGCTCAGCATCCCTCCGCCAGAGCTCTGCATCCGACTGGAGACTTTACACCTGCTTCCTACGAAGACGGAGCCTTTGCCAGCAAGCCCATGCTCACCGAGAATCTGCGAAGGGATCTTTTCATTCTCCTCCCTGCAAACATTCCGGGAGGGGCTGAGACTCCAGGCGACACTGAACCACCACCAACACGCACACTCGACGGAGCGCAACACTTTCTGAGCTGCCATCAATTTTTAATTTATTGGATC